GGAGCTGTTGGGAATAGGTGAACGGTTGGACTGGGTGATCTTTTAGGTCTTTTCCAACCTTGGTGATTCTATGATTCTATGATTCTATGATTCACAACAGGCTTCTTTGTTTTTTTTTAAAATGGAAATATTCACACTTGTTTCTCCAACTCAATATGCCACCTTCAGCAATGCAAACAAAAGTGTTCTCTTATAAAGAGGAAAAGGTGAGGCTTTCAGGCATTAGCTCAGAAACTCATGGATTGCTTACCACCTCGTCTCCTTATTTCAAAAAATACGATGCACAACAGAACGGTGGTACTGTTGTACAGCTGCCTGCTTCCCAATCCAGGAATTCTAAAATAAATAAAAAAAAAGTTTATTTTTCTTTCAGATTGCATAACAAGGTCTTTTGACCTGAGGAAATAGAGTGGAGTATACCTTCAAGATGCAGTGAAGCAAGAGCTGGCTGTTGCACAGTTTCCATCTAGTTTCACCTCCTATGCTTATACCAGGATTTGGTGGGACTTCTTCAGAGTCAAGTGCTGGCTTTTGCTATTTTCCTTGCCTTCCCCGTCCCACCTCACATTTTTGTTCTTGTGGGGTTTGTCAGGACAGGGCTCACAGTGCATCTGACACCGTGGGCCTTGCTTGCTCCATGACTGGTGCCAGCTGTCGTACCTCTGTTACCACATTGTCCCATTCTTGATGATATGCTGGATCCCCACACTCTGACCAGTCTTGCTGGTGGCTGTAGTCAGCTCAGTACCTGTTGATGGGGTGAACAGCCTGCAGTGACTGCACTGCCAGCAATGACATCTGCTGTTAGAGTCTGTGGCTGGAGTTATCACTGAAGCCATCTCGCTCTTGTGCAACAGAACCCAGCCAAAGCCAAACCAGGCATACTGAGTTTTGCCCCTGTGTTTTCTTGGGAAAAGCTCCAAATGGAGATGAGTGTGCTATACATCCTCCCATGGACTAGAAACAGCACTAATGCCTGATTGTCGTACTAGCAGCTTCTGTGAGAGCTGGAAAAGTTGACATCCTCTTTGCCATCCTCGTGCCCAATCCGTGCCTCAGGTCGTCCTGTGCATCCAACGAGCTCCCCTCCATTGGGACTTACCACCAGAACTGGTTCTTTCTTCCAGTAGATCTCTTTACCATATGCCACAACATTCAGGTCCCAGGAAGGCTTACTGTGATGCTCAGGAGCAGCACTAAGCTGCTTAAGTAGGTATTGGAGGACATCATGTGAAACTAAGGCACAGAATCAGTGTTCCTTCTATACTGCTTATAGGGAAGGAACTGTTCTCAGGCTATACTTAACCACTAATTAGAGTCTTTGAGATACTTTTAAGAGAAAGCAAAGGTCGCACTGATAAATATGTACGTTTCTGAAGTTATAGGTTGTTTTCATAGGTCTTTTCACTCTTTCCTGCTTATGTATCTCTAAGAAAGCGGTTTCTGTGTCTCAGTGTAAATAAAGAAAGGTAGAGAGAAAAGCTGATGGCTTCAGAACACTGCCTGCTGTAATGAACATCTACTCATGTCCTTCATCCTATAACCCATGAAAGAAAACGTAATGTACACTGCCTTTTAATGCAGCACAGGCCTCTTGCAAGTCAGCTTGTTTAATCTCCCCTCTCAATATTCCACATCTGTGGAATACAATTCTCTAGCAGTCTCATTTTAATAACATATTCTAATCCATTAAACTCACTCTGGTAAGCTTTCAGTGAACCATGACATTTCTAAATCAGAGTAAAATCAGAGGCCTTAAAGCAGACTGCAGAGCTAAAATTCTTTCTTATCCCTTCCCTTTATTTACAGAAGATTCTTATGTTGAAATATACCAAATCATCCTGACAGAATAATTATGATGTCATGCCATGTCAGATTTTTGGAAACAATGTCAAAAAATGAACTGAAGAACGTGTTGAAAACTAAGAAATAGCCAAAAAAGCCACCAACCCAAGCCAACCCAGAAACCTTGAACTTAGCCAAAGAGTGATGGATGAAAGACAACCCGTAATGGGTATGTCAAAACTTTCTGTTTCCTCTCCAGTATAATCTGACAGCTGATGCTTTTGCAGCACCAAGGGAAGTCCTTTTTAAGTTCAATTATTTAAAATCCTTAGCGTGACTCCTCCATGCCAAATGCTATCAGTGCCAGGGGATCGCAGTGCAAAGCTTTTCTTCTCCTGATAAGCACTGGGATGTAATCAACACTGATTGTTACATGCAATTGCAATCTTGATGCTTTTCACTGTACATAGTTTTAGACTAACTGCAAAATAATGTGGACTATCCTTTTATTACTTATTCAGGAACAGTTTTGTAAAACTAAAATAATCGTATTTCTCTGAGGTAATTTTGTAACCCAAGAAAACATACCAAAAAAGCTGGACTTAGAGAAGATCAGTAATCTGAAGTTTATTCTGCTAAAGACTTATTTGATATTTTACCAAATCAGTTGAGCATTCTTCATTTCCCATTTATTCCCAGGTGGCTCTTCCTTTCTCCAGCCCTGAACCCTCCATCCCACCTTCCCAAAAATCTTGCTTCTCATTCCTTCAGGACAACCTGACAAATAGATGCAGTGATGAAGGATTATCACTTCTGCTGCTGCTCTGATTCATCCAAGCTGCTTGGAAGAGAGTACAGAAAAGGGCACAACCCCTTTCTGTAACAAATCATCTTCTGGACGTTTTCCTGCCCCATGAGATTGAGCATTATGGCTCACATTAATGAAAACGTGTTATTTCCCTTGCTCTGGGATTTTAGAGAGACCTTTTGGATCTGTGAGAAAGCAGCATACCCCTTGGTTTCTGGAGCAGCAACGCCTGAAGCTTTCTTTTCTGGTGGAAGCAGTAGGGACAGCACTTGGTATTTCATCTCTTGGGCCATGGAAAAGGGCAGCTTCTGCCTTGGCAGCCAGGCTGCAGTACTTCACTGAGTGGGTCTGACTGATCGCACTCTCATGCTCCTGCCATCAGCACCATGCAAAGCAGGAAGGATGCTGCCACGCCTCTCCCTTTGCAGCAGAGTGGTTTAATGGAGCTTTTCTCATTACTCAAGGTTTTGTGTTTTCCACAGACACAGGCAGGCATTACAACAGGTATCACACGTATCAGTGTCTACGTACTTTCAAACTCCTTTTCAAACCACTATATGTCAGAAGGCTGGAGTAAGTTTCACAATTCAGTCTTTCTAACTGCCTGTGTGTGACAGATTCAAATGTGTTTGCATGCTTAGATTTTCAGATAGCATGTGGATAACCAGTCACACATGCATGTAGAGTGTTTGGAAAAGCTGAACTTTGTAAAGTAGCAGAAGCTGGGAAGCTTAGCAAAATGCAATGTTAAGCTAAATAGTAAAAATAGTATGTGTATATGTGTGTAATTTGACAATACATTAGGTTTTGCTATTGTTTGCTAAGAATGATACCTTTAATCTCTTGCTGCTTCTGAACATTTATTTGACACAATAACCACGATTTTGTTCATCAATATTACAACAATTGTGCCTCAAATAAAAAGATTGTTCTCACGGGACAAAACTTTCAATGATACATGTGGAAGTTACAGTAGCATCCAGGAGTTCATATTTTGTAGCTGTTTTCATTAGGGAAAACCTTTATTAACATTTAGCATTTTTTTCATCAGCAAAGCGCTTTCAAAACATTTGCTAATTAAAACCTTTATATCTTTTAGACAGTGAAAGTGCCTTTTCCAGCCCGCACATGCTATGTAACTTATTTTATTAGTGGTTTAGTAATAAAGTCAGATAAACCTTTGATTTAATAATTAGCTTTTATAGAGTGCTTTCTGCCTTCAAAGCACTTTGCAAACATTAACTAATTAATTCTTGCAACTCCCCTGTAATTTGGGGAAGCAAGCACATTCATATATGTTTGTATGTGGTTTGGGAAAGAAAGTATTATCTTGGGCATTTTACAAAGCAGAGAATTAAGACATATAAATTATTTACTTAAGTCCACAAAGACAGAAACGTTGTCAGGGTAGGAACTGAAACTCATTCCTCCTCCTCATCCTTGTCTGTATTCCGACCGCTCGGCTCTTGCAGGAATTTTCTCTGGAGAAGTGCAGCTAGGTCAGCCAAAGCAAGGCATGGATGCTAAGCAGGCATCTCCACCTTCCTTCCAGCCAGTGTCCCAGGCACAAACATACTCAAGGAGCACACGTGGGGTGTGCTTACGTGGTGATCCACACAGCTAGTTTGCCTTACACTCTGGCCACTTGTCTGTGGTTCATGAACAAGGTGGGGGTCACAGCAAAGGGCTGCAGTGGGGCCAGCAGTTTCCAGCAAGCTCCCAGTAATGAACTCTGCTCACTCTTATCCACTGGGCATTCACACTGCCACAATATGAAAATACTGTCAGTATTCTGTGAGCAGCTTCTTTTGTTTCTGTCTCCAGTTTAGGTACAGCTTGTTGTAAGTATGCATCACAGTACAAGAGGAATTTATGTTGTCCCCTTTCTTTCCTAACTTGTTTACTGATTTGGTACCTACAATAATGCAGCTTTCCTGCCTACCCCAACCCACCTGTCTAGGATGTCTGTGTATTTTGGTCACACAGTAAATAAGTATTTCTTCATGTGCTGTAGGTGGACTAAGAAGAGTACGAGCTGCAAGAAGGCTGCACCATGCACCAGGGTACCAGAGGTCTCTGAAGAGTCATTTGTGATGTTTCAATTCAGCAAAGCAAGTAAGCTCTTACCTTACAGGCTTTAGAAATTTTTCTGAAGTTAAAGAACATTCTTAGAACATGTGAAGGCCATTAAGGAGGTTTCAGAATGAATGTCTTGTTTTCAATGAATTTAAGAATTTCATGAGGTACACATGTCCAAATACTTACCATTGTTTATTTTTGCTAGGTGTTGTAAATTAATGTTATTGTGTACATTTTTGAGTGATTAAGCAGTAAACCAGAAATGGATTGTATCAGTGCTGTGTATCAGCTAACATTTAAAAACTGTAAGAAACTTCAGGGCACTTTTAATAGCTCAACTGAGCCAAGTTTTTCTGTGTCATAGTGTGTTCTTCAGGCAAGAGAAATAGAGTGAAACAATAAGAAGTATCTGTCTGCTTGCTAATGCACATTTCATCATTACATTCAGATAAACCAAACAATTAAATAATGCAGAAGGTTTGTGTAGATTAGAGAATTAGGGACAAAGCATTCCTTGGTGGTCAGCTATTTGTTTAGTGTTGAAGAGTAACTTTTGTAATTCTGTTTCTGTAAGCTGAGTCTATCAAGTAGAGACTACTAGACAACAGAAGAGTGCTGCATTTTGCATGTGGTGTGCCAAGCACTATTTCTCTGTGGATATGAACAGATTTTTTTTTAATTTGTTATTTTATTGTATTTATAATTAGCCATCTGGAAAAAAAAAAAGAAGTTCTCTTTTAGCATCTGCAGTGATGCATTGATTCTTTCATTACAGCAAATACGCATGACCCCCGGTGTTCAACTGTAAACAATAATAGTTACTGGCTTCATTAGTAAGCTAGCAGATGGCTTATAAGTTCTCATGGTAGCTTTTATCCATTTGAGGCTTGCAGTGTGCAAATGTTTGTCTTTTAAACAGGGTAAAACAATGTAAAAGGGACTCTGTGCTTTGTTTTTATTAGTAGCAATTCATTTGGATTGGAGATTTGAATCTGAATATATGAATGCGCTGTCAGTTTTTCCTGTCCACAGGTGAAGTACTTGCTGGGCCTTTATGGCATTTTCTGTACCAAAAGAAATGAGGTCAAATATCACTTCTGGAGTTTTGACAATCATATTTTAATTAGTAGGACTCCCATTCTAAAATCTTCCCTTCCCTTCCCTTCCCTTCCCTTCCCTTCCCTTCCCTTCCCTTCCCTTCCCTTCCCTTCCCTTCCCTTCCCTTCCCTTTCGCATGCAGTTGCAATGACCCTCTAAAAGTTTGTTATGGAACTGTGCAGAGCTATCTAAAGACCAGTTCACTGTCAATAATACTGAACACATAACTCTTTTAAAAGCAGAACCATTTTATTTCAATGTGTGAATCTCTTTGGAGGCTTTTTAAAATACTTTTATTACGTGCTCTCATTACAATTTTCATGAATTTGCTTATGTTGATAGCTGGAATCAAGCTTCATTATTGAGAAATAGAAGCAGGAAGCCATATATTAAGGGCCACCAGGTTTTAAATACCTTCAATTCTCTATAAAAGCATAGGTACATGGCAGTGCAAACTCTCTCAATGTGTTCCACTATTGTGTTTCAAGTGGATCTGCACATGGAGGAGCCAGGAAGTCATTCACACTTTGTGGTCTTTCACTGTTGCCTACTTATGGTTTGTTCACACTAATGCATAAGCATTTGACTGGTTGATTTTTTGCAAAACAAATGCTTCTGTTGAGGTGGGAGTCAGCCGTGCGTTTTAGAAACATCCATCAAGAATTAGAAACTTTTCCTTTAGGAAGGGGTAAGTCTTATCTTGAGGGCATAAATGAACGAGACTGCATGCTCCTTGTGTTTCCTTATGGTGCAGTAAATAATTATACTATTAGTATCAAGCTAGGGAATCTTCCTGAGTAAACAGTGACCTAATGAATCTTTAGAGTTTTATATTGTATTTTCATACTCTAAGTTCAATTTTAAAGTTTAAAATAACTTTTGTTTGGAGACAGCTATATCTCCTGGAAAAAGTATGAGAATGTTGGTTTCAGAGCATGTATTTTCACTTCTTATCCTCATTTTTTATTTTAGTATTAAAAATAATATGTGCATAAAATTTTTCTTTCTTCTGAGCCCATCTGCTCTTGCTTCTACCTTACCTGAAGATCTAGCCCCTTGTAAGTGACATCTTCAATGAAGAAAAAGCAGCAGGAGCAGATGATCTTTCAAGAAATAAAGATCCTATTTTCATGCAAATTTACAAGTAATTAAAAGTGATGGAAGAAAAAAAAAAATGCATCTCAATATGCAGTGTCTTCAAATTTAATTTGAAATATAATAGTTTTAAACTTTCCTGTAAGAAGTCCCAGACTTTTTAAGTGGATTCATTTTGAGAGCAGTAAGAATTGTCATTCAGATTAATGGGCTGTTTTTCTTATCAAAAGACACCTTTGAAACAAGTTTGAGGGTAATGGTAAGAAGTTTTAAGTGTTGTTTTTTTTTTTTTCCCTATGGTTTGAAATAAAGTTAATTAATTTCCTAAGTAAAATTAAATTCCATTCAAGTCTGTGGGTGAAGTATAGCAGTACTCAAAAATGCCATTCTAAGGACTACTTCAGACCCAACATGACTTCCATTTCAGTAGGCATGCCAGCTGTATCTGCAGCATTTACTGTTGCCTCATTATCTATCTCATGTTTCCTGAAGGAAGTATTTTATTAAAAACAAAACAAAACTATTTGTTTATGAAGTTTTACCATTCATTATTAGTCACTAAAATTTTAAAAAAAATCAGGAAGGGGAAAATATATTGTGATAGCAATGCATTCTACAATTCTGTCCTTTTAAAACTGCTGCAGAAATGGAGAGACTTACCTCTCCTCTCCTCTCCTCTCCTCTCCTCTCCTCTCCTCTCCTCTCCTCTCCTCTCCTCTCCTCTTCTTCCTACTGTAAAATGGAATCTGAGGTGTTGAGAATTTTTGATTCTCATGAAAGACCAAAAGAGTTACAAGCACAAAATCAGAATAAAATTAAAATATTGCCTAAGCAGTGGATCCAGTTCTGTTCATCTTTACAGAAGCTGTAAGGTTACAGAGCTGGAATCCATAAACAACTGCTGCCCTTTTATCCCATGCTATTTAGATTCATTACTCAGTATATAAAAGTAGTTACGACTCCCATGATTGGTGCACCTTTATTGATTAGAAGTAAGTTTGTTTCTGATGAGTTAGGAAAGGCTGGGCATTACACACGTGATTAGGAACAATGTAAAGCTACACAATTTACATCCTGCAGAATGAAAAAAAAAGTGAAGTACTGATGATTTATTATTACAGCTCTCATTTAGATGAGGAGGTGCAGGAAGCAATAAATAATGTAAATATTTTAAAATTCTGTCAGTGATAACCTAAAGGGAATATTGTGATTTGCAATAATACTTGGAAAAATTCCTTCACTAATGCTAGCAACTAGAATTTTTTGTATAACAGCCCATGGATTTCATAGGGATTTGGTAATGCCCTATGTGCATCAGCTAGTTCTTCCTGTGCATTTGTGTTTGGTTTGTTTGTTTGTTTCCTAAGATAAGCTGATGGGCTACAAGGATGAAGTGAGGCAGCTCTGTGGTTAACCATTACTCTAAGTGCTATGAATAAGACCTACTGCTGTATTTCAGTGTCTGTCACTTCAGTGGAATTAAGAAACTGAGGAGGCTAACAGTGGTTGGGAGGAGCCACATCAAGATGGCATCCTGAACTCTAATCAACATCTTCCTGGATAAGATGTACTCAAATATTTTAACTTCACTTTTATGCAACTTTTTCCAACTTTTAAACTGTTGGAACTTCAGTGCAGATTTGGTTAGCTGACGCCTTCGGCAGCTGCACCGAGTGTTTGAATTTCTTATGATAATGAACAGTTAAAGCTAACTGGAGTGCCTCTATTTTTTAATTGATTTAGCAGTTGATTGTCTCACAAGATTTATGTTTCCCCTGTGCTCAGAAAATAATGTTGTCAGTTGGCACTTGAAGGTATATTATTCTTATTGCAAACATCATGGATGAAACATCATCTTTGTCAATTACGATTTTAGAGGATGAAAAAGATTGTTCATAAAGGCAGAGAATATAAAATACTGTGTAAAGGTCACTAGATAGGTCAGAGCTGATGACCATCTGGCTATAAATGAACTACCAGAAGCTAGATAATATACCAAATGAGAACATTTGATATACTAATTCTTTTCCGTGTAGTAACATAAAGCAAGCAGACTTGCAATACATCTTTTTTTCTGCAGGAGTAAGATTGCTTCCTTTTCTGCTTCTGCCCTCATTTCATTTTCATAGCTTCATTCATTACATACCTATTAAAAACATTATTATATTTCTTCCAAGATGGAGGAAAGACTTATAAAGAAAATTCTGGATGTCCTGAAAGCTTTGTAAAAGAAACAATTACATGGAAGATTGTCCAGAAGAGGATCCCAAGAAACTATTCTTGTGTGCTTTGGGCCTATTTCTATTCATCACTGTACTCACAAAGAGCAGGAATAATACCACTGATGCCAGTGGTGCTAACAGCAGATTACTCTATTTTGCATATTCTACCAAAAAAAAGGTCATTAGTATTGCAAAACTGAGCATTCAGAAGTTAAAAACTGACAATATTATGAAAAGAAGCATTAGCAGATTGCTCTAAGGAGGGAGGAGAGCAATTTGCATCTTAATACGTGGATAGAAAATCTGGAAATCTACCAAAGGTGAATATCTGAATGTCTTTGAGGAAAAATTCTGTATGAAAATATTAGATATGAAGCATAGATGTAAGATTCATCAGAGTGCTTGTCAGTGCCTTTATATTTCAGTCACCCAGTGAGATGATGAGAATATCTGAGGTAGGTTCAGAATTAAGCAAGAGTAGTCATAGGCTGATTCAAGAGAATGATAGAAGAAAACCACAAAAATTCTCCATAGAGAATCCATGAAAAACAACATAGAGCAGGCCAGCAGAGCTTAGTTCATCCCTTTGCTGTGAGAGGGATTCAGATGGGACAGGGAGAA